ACAGGTGAGAGCGGCCGTCCAGCAGGAATTAATAGGTTTATGACCTTCCCTCGTGTACCTGACGCCTGAGACTACCATGATGTACAGGTGTGGTGTCCCGACCATGATATGCAGGTACTTACAGTTATGAGATCACCTGAAGATCAGACACCCTCAACCTATTTCACCTGATGATTAAACACCTTAACGCTACCTAAGGGGGTTAGGTTAGGGTGTTTTAATCATCACATGTAATAAGCTAGGGTGTTTAATCTTCAGGTGAACGGAAGAGTGTCTGACCACCATAAAGTGTGCCTGGAGTGTGTGTTACAGCAACTTTTTGTGGGGTCCGTGTTGCTGGTGTGGTGATGGGAGAGATATTGTGGTGGCGTCATGGTATCTCACTGGTATCTCGACATAATGATCCAGGTTCGATGTTTGCCGACCACAAGTAGTTACCCGTATCCTGTAGTGCTGTATAGGCCACACGTACACACACACACACACACACACACACACACACACACAATGTTGCCGAGGAGCCTGGTCAGCAACACCAACGGATGAAATACGCTTCAGTAGTCCCACAAATTAAATCCACAGCGGACGGGATCACTATTGAAACTGTCAGGGCTCACAGCAGCGAGTCACAACCCGTCCTCTTGATAAAGTACTCCAGCACCTGCAGTAATCTTGACAAGCTATCTGAAGGACACGCCCAAGTGTATCAAAGGTATATAGGACGAGTCGACCTGTGGTAAAGGTGTCCGCCTGCACCTGTAATATTACCTGTGAAGCAACAAAACAACAGCGGAACTCACACAACAGCGGGCAAGAACCGGAAAAATTATCCATAAATCAAGAAGACTGCAACAGGGAGCGACGGAGAACGACAGGGAAACGACGGGGAACGACAGGGGGCGACGGGGAACGACAGGGAAACGACGGGGAACGACAGGGGGCGACGGGGAACGACAGGGGGCGACGGGGAACGACAGGGGGCGACGGGGAACGACAGGGGGCGACGGGGAACGACAATGAGCAACAGGGGGCGACACATAATACGCAATATTATCCAGTACAAAGTGATCTCTTAGACTGACTGGCCGTAATGTGTGTTATCAAACCACCTTAGATAGTAGCGCTTCACTCCAATACAGTACCAGGCTGTTTTCTGTTTATAATAACAAGGAGTTAACAGTTAGTATAGCAAGTGTGTGTTGAGGAGCCTCGCTGAAGGGTCTATTGCCTTCCAGTAACACCCAAGACCGGGGGTGTGGTGAGGGCGGCTTCCTCCCGGTGACTGGGTCGGTCGGTCACAACATTCTGTCGACATAGTTTTTGTTATATTGTTAAAATTAGATTAATCAGGGAACTACTCGTGTTGATATAGGGGATAAAGAAGTAATAGTATTTTAGTGCTTGTGGGTTTCTTAAGTGTTTATTGTCGAGTTTTTGTTCCTGATGAGCTGAGAATTATTGCCGTCTGAAGGCAGGAGAACCACTTGGAGGTTGACGGCACCGGCAGCTGAGGTTCTTGTCGGACACCACCACCAGGGCACCACCACTACCACCAGGGCACCACCACCCCCACCAGGGCACCACCACCACCACCACTCCAGGGCACCACCACCCCCACCTGGGCACCACCACCACCACCAGGGCACCACCACTACCACCAGGGCACCACCACCCCCACCAGGGCCACCACCACCACCACCAGGGCACCACCACCACCACCAGGGCACCCAGTATGTGTCTCTCTCCGGCGACTTTGTTGTGACAGTTAATTATTATCTTGTTTGTCGTTGTAATGGTGTTTGATCCCAGCAATTATGGGCTTGAGGTTTAATGTTTTCTTTATTATATAACCCGGAGTTACTGCCGCACTTGCCTCCTCTCCTCCCTTGTGTTATACAGGTTACAAACTCAGTGAATTATCGTGTTGTTTTGTGTGTTTGTTATTTCTATTATTATTTTTTTTTGGTGGGGGCGGTGAGTAACACGTAATCTCAAGAGGCTGTATTTGGTCATCCAGTTATGCTGCTTTTTGGTCGACTGGAGTCACGACCACAAGAACACGAAGAACAGTATTAGAGTGAAGGATATTTTGTTTTGTGTTTTTGTCTCTATGAACGTTGATGGTTGTATGGTGTTGCCAACCTACACACACACACACACACACACACACACACACACACACACACACACACGCACACTTCTTGTTTTAGTTTTTTTCACAACATTAACCTCCATCTTTTGTTTACCGGAATCCTCTACATAGATCTTTGTGTGTGTGAGGAGAATAGAACAGGTACCTCCAGGGAAGCACAGGGCGAGTGAGAGAGGTCAACAAGAGAGAGGTCAACAAAAGAGAGGTCAACAAGAGAGAGGTCAACAAGAGAGATGTACTACCTTACTTAGATGGGTTAAAACTAGAGGCTAGGAATGATAGATATTTTTACCTCACAATAATTCATCTTACTCCTGAACCATCTATAAGGAACACGTGCTAAGGTAACAGTTACTTAATACATCACAGCGAAGGAACATCACAATAAAGGAACATCATAGCGAAGGAACATAAAGCGAAGGAACATCGAGCGAGGAACATCACAATAAAGGAACATCACAGCGAAGGAACGTCACAATAAAGGAACATCACAGCGAAGGAACATCACAATAAAAGAACATCACAGCGAAGGAACATCACAATAAAGGAACATCACAATAAAGGAACATCACAATAAAGGAACATCACCATAAAGGGACATCACAACTAAGTAACATCACCATAAAGGAACATCACAACTAAGTAACATCACCATAAAGGAACATCACAACTAAGTAACATCACGGGAGTAAGACTAAAGAGAACCCCCCACCCCCCTACACACACACACGTCACCCCGCTGATCACAATGACAAATTTTCCAGCCTAACAAACGTGTTTCTTGGCCACGTTACCTCTTGTCTACTGTTTGGTTTGTCTTATCCTCAACTGTTTTGTATTTTTTTTCTAGATATAAATTTTCGTTAATGTAATCTCGGCGTTGATGAAAAAAGAAGAAAAAAAGTAATATAAGATGGGAAATATACATAAATCTTTCTGTTTTTCTCACGTGTTTTAAAAAAAAGGTCAGGTTGTTTATCTTTTGGTATAGTGTGAGTTTAGCGGTGAGAGTCGTGGTCCCAGAGGCGACACTTGGAAGATTGCAGCTTATCATCTCCTCAGTCTGGTTTTCTTTGAAGTGAGAGACTGCTTCTCGCTGTTTGGGCAGTTAATAATTTATAAGAGGAGATGAAGTGCTTTTACCTGCTTCAACAATACATTACTCTCTCTCTCTCTCTCTCTCTCTCTCTCTCTCTCTCTCTCTCTCTCTCTCTCTCTCTCTCTCTCTCTCTCTCTCTCTCTCTCTCTCTCTCTCTCTCTCTCTCTCTCTCTCTCTCTCAAAGCAGGGAAGAACAACACACATACACAGCCAACAACACTACGCCACTTACCTGTGCAGAACACCTTAATAAATTACTCATCATTGCACACACATATTTCATTACCTGTCGCCTCGCTTTGTCTTCATAAAATTGTTGTAAGTTGAATTATTAACTTTATCTTATAATAAACCACAACATAAAAAAAAAAAACTTATCGATATATTTTTTGTATCCCATTATCACACCTGATCGATACCTGCTAATGAAATTCCTCACTTACATTGTTAGTGTACATTAAATTTGCTGCGTCCAGGTGTACTTTTATCGTCTCTAGATCACTTATATTTTTCTTTCTTTCTTTATCTACGTCAGAGTTTTATGTCAGTGTTGGACGCCGCTTGGTGTACCTGTTCTCACCTCCAATACCTTCACCTCCTGTTAATGTTGTACTACGTGGGTTAATAACTTGTTCCTGCTTTTGATTGTTGATACAGTCTTGTTAACGTTACCCTCCCTCCACCCCCTCAGAGACCTTCTTGGTGAGCCGTTTGGGTGGTGATGATGATGATGGTGTGTGTGTGTGTGTGTGTGTGTGTGTGTGTGTGTGTGTGTGTGTGTGAACAATTTCTTGCTCCTTATTTTTGTCTCACTTTTTGCCTTACGTTAATAATTCCTACCTCTTGCGATTTTTATTTATCACTGGGATTTCCCCTCAACTTGTCCTGTTTTTTAGTGTGTCCAGGTTTGGTCACAAAGTATAAAAAAAAATAAAAAATAACACTTGGTTGTATACCTGGAGGTAGTGATTAATTAATACGCCATATTTGACAGGTAAAATCTCAATGTTGTCTTGTGACCGACGCAGAAAACTGCAATTCTCGTGTTGGTTACATTGTATTGTTCTTGTTACATCTGTACTTGTTTGGTAGTAAGGTGTCTCTTATATTAATGGAATATTTTGTTTTTGTTTTAACCTTTATAAGTTATCAGATTAGAGACTGAGACAGTATTACAAACGTGGCCATAAGTAGACCTTGTTAACATTATGGAAGAATTCAGGTAACGTTAATTATACTACACAGGTGTTATTATTCCGTCTCATTATAACCCGTCACCTTTACTTCACCGCTGTAACACCGTGAAGGTTGCAAGAGTCTCATTCTGGTATTTTGTTTACATAATATTCTGCAGTAATGAAGTCATGTTTCTGTTATGGTTCTGAGAGACTGTTTGGCTTCGGTACGCGAGGCTTGTGTCATGTTGTTGTGTCATGATGATGTGTTATGTGTCATGTATCTTGTGTCATGTGTCTATTGAGGTCTTGGTTCATGCTACAGGGTTGAGACAAGCTATATGAAGACCACAAGTATTTCATTACACTAGTACACACACACATGTACACACGTTTACCTACACAGTGACAGACATGTACGTTCAAATATTAACTAAGGAAACACTCTGATGTGTATCTCAAGACTACAGTCCGCGGCATCACTCCAAGTTATTCCATCTTAATATATAGAGTAATAAAAATATAAAACGTCATTACGTGCAGAAAACCACTTGACAGAAGAGACGGTGTACAGAAGAGACGGTGTACAGAACAGACGGTGTACAGAACAGACGGTGTACAGAACAGACGGTGGACAGAACAGACGGTGTACAGAACAGACGGTGTACAGAACAGACGGTGTACAGAACAGACGGTGTACAGAACAGACGGTGGACAGAACAGACTGACAGAAGAGACGGTGTACAGAAGAGACGGTGTACAGAAGAGACGTGTACAGAAGAGATGACAGAAGAGAGCGGTGTACAGAAGAGACAGAAGAGACGGTGTACAGAACAGACGGTGTACAGAAGAGACGGAACAGACGGTGTACAGAACAGACGGTGTACAGAACAGACGTGCAGAACAGACGGTGTACGGAACAGACGGTGTGCAGAATCAGACGGTGTGCAGAATCAGACGGTGTACAGAATCAGACGGTGTACAGAATCAGACGGTGTACAGAACAGACGGTGTACAGAAGAGACGGTGTACAGAAGAGACGGTGTACAGAAGAGACGGTGTACAGAACAGACGGTGGACAGAACAGACGGTGGACATTCCATAAGAAATTTCACGTCACTACACAAAAGCCGGTGTCACTCAGTAGCTTGGAAATACCCAGGAGCATAACTCTCTCTCTCTCTCTCTCTCTCTCTCTCTCTCTCTCTCTCTCTCTCTCTCTCTCTCTCTCTCTCTCTCTCTCTCTCTACTCCTGTAATTAAATCAGTTGTCTAAGTCGCCATTATAAAATATTGATTGATATATACGACTGTGTGCCTGAACAACCAAGGTCTTTAAAACAAGACTAATAAATCACTTCATACACGATATAATAATAAATGATAAACAAAATATGGGGGGGGGCGGCTGAGGGAGGGGGTGCTGAGGGAGGGGGGGGGCTGGGGAGGGGGGCTGCGTGAGGGAACTGAGATGATGGGTCTGAGATGCATGCAAACTATCAATCAAAACTGAGAGATGTTTTGCTTTATTGCACATTGAAGGAGTGTTTGGTTAGGTTAGGTTGCTTGTTAAGGGTTAGGTTAGGTGTAAAGTAAGGTACATGATAAACACCGCCACTAGGATACTGTACTGCCCAGGTAAGGGGTGACACTGGAGGCTTAAACACATAGCTAATTACGTCAGGTGTGCTTATGGGTTTTATAATGGCTATTTACATCATTATCGTGGAGGTTAAAACAGCCATTACAGCCACATAAACCAAGACATTATCGTGAAGGTTAAAACAGCCATTACAGCCACATAAACCAAGACATTATCGTGGAGGTTAAAACAGCCATTACAGCCACATAAACCAAGACATTATCGTGGAGGTTAAAACAGCCATTACAGCCACATAAACCAAGACATTATCGTGGAGGTTAAAACAGCCATTACAGCCACATAAACCAAACCAAGACATTATCGTCGTGAGGTTAAAACAGCCATTACAGCCACATAAACCAAGTCATTATCGTGGAGGTTAAAACAGCCATTACAGCCACAAACCAAGACATTATCGTGGGAGGTTAAAACAGCCATTACAGCCACATAAACCAAGACATTATCGTGGAGGTTAAAACAGCCATTACAGCCACATAAACCAAGACATTATCGTGGAGGTTAAAACAGCCAAACAAATCCCCAAAACAGTGGGCTAAACAGATTAAATTAACAGGTGATAAGACTTTATACTTTATAGTGTAGTGATTATCTTACGCTAAGGGAGGTCTCTTAGTACCTGAACAACATCGTACCATGCGTCAGTAGACAGGAAGCGGTGGTAATGTGTCAGCTTTGTGTGCGTGTCGTAAAGATCTGTATAAGGTCAGCATATGTAGTGTGGCTGTAGGAACAATTGGTACTCGTTAGTAGTCTGTGATGGGACGAGGAGCCGAGTATAACCTCATGAAACTCTGAAAAAGATAAATAATGTGTTGAAGCATGAACGGTTGTGAAATGGTACTAACTGAGAAGAGGAATAAAAAGAGAAGTGATAGAGGTAATAGAAAGGCAAAAAAAAAAAAAGAAGGGGGAGGGGAAGGAAAGAGAGAAGAAGAAAGATGGAGGAGAAGCCAGGAGTTAAAGAGAGGGGGAAAGAAGAAACAGGTTGAGGACGACGGCTATTAATGTGGGGGAAAGACGTAAAAGAATTGCGAGTCCGCTTTTTTACCGGGAGGAACTTGCTTGCCCTGGGTTTTTGTAGGGGCGCTGCGCATCGATCTTCTTCATACGACGACGCTTCTTCAGAGATATAAACACGTATTTAAACTGCAGCTAAACGGCTATAATTTTGTAGCAAGTCGTGGCGGCCGGGATAGGAGGTGAAAGGAGTGAACGACGATTGCCAGTGAAAAGAAACGAAGCGAGCCGGGAAAAGAGATGAGGCGGGGAAAAATTCATCTAGAGCTTTGGCAGCGGCGGGACGGAGACAAAAACTAGAGGTTGACTTGGCAACTTGGCCAGTGCAAAGCAATGCAGCGCGTCGCCCGCCTCCCTGCTGGTGGTGGTGATGCTGGTGGTGGGACTTGTTGGTGATGCCGGTGCTGGGACTTGTTGGTGATGCTGGTGGTGGGACTTGTTGGTGATGCTGGTGGTGGGACTTGTTGGTGATGCTGGTGGTGGGACTTGGTGGTGGAGATACTGATTGGACGTTTTGTTGTGGTGTTAGTGGTGTTAAGCAGTGGGTGTGTTAACATGTGTGTCGTGTTATCTTCCATCCTCCCTCCACCAGTGTTACTCTTGTATATATATATTATAATGGCGTCCGTCTCCTTGGTATAATATATACAAAAAAATTATATACATCATAATTATAATGTCTCGTCTTATGCTGTGGTCTTATATTCAACGATGAATTATAATGCTCCTGAAATAATCTTGACAGAATGTGTATGTTAAGATATATAATGTAGTCTCGTGTCGGTTATTATACTTAAAATATAGTGTGTTTAAATACTACCTGAGGTGATTTTATTGTGTTAGTGCACCGTGTGTGTATGTGTGTGTGTGTGTGTGTGTGTGTGCGTGTGTATGTGTGTGTCTATGTGTGTGTGTGCGTGTGCGCGTGTGCATGTATGTGTGTGTGTGTGTGCGTGTGTGTGTGTGTGTGTGTGTGTGTGCGCGTGTGTGCGTGTGTGTGTGTGTGTGTGTGTGTGGTCATCTACTTGTAGTTCTTGGGTAGCGGGGGGTACACCAGGGTAATGCCGTGTACAGTGGTCAGCAGCGGGAGGACAGTGTGTTGGACGTTGACCTGATTCATCACTACCTTGTTCACACGGCCGCCGTCGGCTTGGGCTGCGGCGTGTGTCTTAAGACGTTTTTTTACGGTTCATCTTCACTAGACCTGTTGGTTTGCTTAGATTAACTGAGGCGATGATCCAGACCTTGTTTATAACTGTTAGCAATCTCTCTCTCTGTATTTGTAATTAACTTTTTTGCATTCGTTATATTTGCTAGAGGAACACTTAATACACAAGTTTTTCATGATAATATTAATTGGAGGTGACTGGTGCAGGCTCGTCCACCCGTGATGGCTCCTCGTTACCTTGATACTAGTTTATCTTCTCGAGTGACTCAGCTCAAGTTAGTGGCCAGATAACGAGTCAAAACACAGAGTATATGTTGTTGAAATAAATCAGTGGCCACTTGTAGACGGTACATTACTTTTAGTGTAAGTTTTACCTCTATGTGTGGGAACATTTCGATACCTTAGTCAGTACACGACCTTACTGGTGGGGGTGTGAGATAAACGTGGTGGTGTGTTTAGGGGCACACCGCTGGCAGCAGGTACACCACTAACGCCTCACTTCCCGTAAAGCGTAAAATTACTTTTCCTGCCGATTACCTGAAAATTAACCAACTGGCCGGTAGTGCGGGGGAGAGAAACTGCGAAATCGGATTATGAGAATTGATTTTGACAGAAATCTGTAAATGATGTAATAATTTTGAAACTGTGACACTGATGAGGGAGCCGGTGTGGGGTAGATGGACTGGCACCGTTGTGTTTAGTATTATGTATGTGCCGACACCTGCCTCACCTGTGATCATCACCTATAAACATCACCAGTCATCTGTACAGTAATGTATTTATGTGTAAATCGTGACGCGTGAGAGGCCACAGTCTGTCACAAATCATCCATTACCCAGCCAGAGAGAGAGAGTGTTTGGTGACGGTGGGTCGTGATGAGAGTAATTACAGTAACAGTTATGAGGCGGATCAATGAGGCGAGACAGTTATGGCGGCTCTCGTCCTGCCGCCACTTGTACAAATTATGCCACACTTTTACCCCCCCTCACACCTTTTATTTCCCGTTATATTACTGGATGGATTACCTGCCCTGCACGGCAACACGTTTTTACCTGCTCCAGCTTTTGTGTATAATGTCTTTTTTTTCTCTTAGTTATTTACGTATTTGTGTTTGCATTGGTGGAGTGGGCTGGTCCTGGCGCTCACACTGCCAGGACTCGGGTTTGATCCCCCTGGTGTGTGTGTGTGTGTGTGTGTGTGTGTGTGTGTGTGTGACGTTGGCAAATGATGAAGTAAAAGAGGGAAGATAAAACAGCCGTCATACGCCCTCACCTCTGCACCAAGACAGTAATCTGATATATACAGAGTTTTTAGGTGAGGAGATGGGGAGGGAGGGGTGGGGGGGCTGTGGTCAAGGGAGTTACTTACTGTATGGGCTCCTGGGGGTGACGTAACGCTCTGGGTAACAACCTTACACTTCCTCGTGACTGCTATTGTTACTTAACCTTTATGACACCTAACCAGCCTCAGATGTCCCCGACACTGACCACACATTCTCTGACACCAATTCTAACTGGAGAAAATCCCGGCGGCGGACGATTTCCAGCAGACAAACCCCCCAAACGGACAAGACTTATATATATAGTAAACAAAAACCCCCAATAGGTTTTGTGTCTTGTAATCAAATACCAGGTCAGGTTAAGTCAGAACAAGTCAGGTCAGGTCAAGTGTCTGTGACTCGTATGAACCCATGACCCTTCAGGCTTTTACGCGTATGAGTCATAAAGGCAAGCATGAACTCCGCATGCTTCCCAGATGGGCGCTGTAAACGCTTCTGCGCTTCACCTTGGACAGGATTTAAGGGGGTGCCCAATAAACTAGTCTCTCTCATCTCTTTCTGTTGTGCCTCGATCCATTACATCTCCCCCACCCCCCTTTCTGTCTCCCTTACCTCTTATCGGCTCCTCTTCCTTATTTGTCCTTCAGATTAATATAATTTCAATATTCTTTAAGAGTCAAATACATTAGTGCTCGTCCCTTATATTATTGTTCTGTTTATAGTTCTTATGACCCCACCCCTCCCCCCTCCTACCCCCCTCCCACCTCTCATCCCCCTACCCATCCCTTCCCTCTCACCCCCCTCTCCCATTCCCCCTCCTTCCCACAAGACAGTAAACCCCCACACCCTCCTCCTCCACAACCCCCTTCCCCACACCCTCCCCCACAACCACCCCCTCCCCCACAACCCCCACAACCCCCACCACAATCCCCCTCCTCCCCCAGCAGTTCAGCCCCGGTTGTAGATATCGTATTTTTGCTAATATATGTGTCAGGTGGCTAGTTAATGGGGCCTTAAGTTAGCGACGGTTCTGGTTTACTGGAG